TCACCCTCGGTACAATGCTGTGATATCACAGTTCACAGCAACCTCAAACTCCCGAGCTCAAGTGATTCTCTGGTCTCAGCCTCCCAAGTACCTGGGATTATAGGCGCCCGCCACAACACCTGGCTATTTTTAAAGACCGGGTCTTGCTCTCGTTCAGGCTGGTCTTGAACTCCTGAGCTCAAGCCATCTGTACATCTCAGTCTTCCAAAGTGCTGGTGATTACAGGTACGAGCCACTGTGCCCGGCCCTCCCCTAAATTCAGGTCCCAGGTTCAACTCATCGGATCACGAATGAGCCCTCTGCCACCTTTTATTCCAAAGCCACTTTGTGTAGGTCATATTGAGAAAAGGGAAACTTCCGCAGCCAGTACACAAAACCACACAAAGTCTTTTGTTTTAAGGGTTACCCAGACATTAATGCCTTTACAAATTGGCTTTATGGACCTGGTGAGAAAAAGTGGAAGAGGAATTTATTTTGATTGACCGCCCTACCTACCACGTGCTAAGCAGGGACTAACAAGTGTGTCAAGCGGACAGTGCCAATGGTACTTTACAAAGGGGAAAACCAAGCCTGGGAGGTTCTGATGGCTTGTTCAAGGCAAACAGAACACAGGGAATGGCGGCCCAGGAGTTGAAATCTTCTTCCAGAGAGCCCGTCCCTTCCCTTTCCCCAACCCGGGCAAGGGTCGCTAATGCCAGGGAGGCGGAGGACAACGTGAGCCGAGGCAGGGAGGGGCCTGGGCCCGGGGGCGTAGCAGTCTGGAGCTCGGAGTGCGACCCGGCGCCACGTCCCCCGAGTCTACACCGCGGCCTAGAGGACCTGCGGACCCCTTTCCAGGTACAGCCGCCCAGAGTGTCAGGAACTCGGTACCTGGCTGGCCAACGACCAACCGCGCCCCTCCCCGCCGAGCACGCGCGCCCGCCTCGTCAGCACCTTTCTCGCCGCTCGGCCCCACAGCGGGTCACGAGGCGAGCGCAGCCCGGTCAGGCCCTGCCAGGCCTGCCTAGCACTGGGCTGGGTGCCACCCCTCCTCCTCTGCTCTTTTTTCTTCCCCTCTCCTCCCAGCGCCGGCCTCAGCGCGCGCCACGTCCCCGGCCCCACCCCCGAGAGCCACGCGGGGAACCCCGGTGACGTCACCACTCTCAGCGCTCGCATTCCCGCGCTCTCCAGAAAAGACGCGAAGGTGGTGACGCGTCCCGGCGCCAGTGCGGCTGCGCAGGCGGCGCCGGCAACTGAACGTCCTGCGGCGCCTCCTGGTGGAAGAAAAGCCGCCGCGCCGGCCGGAAGCGGCGGGAGGGCCTAAAGAGAAGGTGTCTGACGTCATCTCGCGGTGGCGAGGGGGTGGCTGCGCGTGACCAGGCCCCACCCGGTGAGCCCTGCTGTCTTTCTGTTCTTGGCTGGCTGTAGGGAGTGTGGAAGATTTTGATTTTGTGCCCCTTTTTGCCTGTTTTCGGACTAAATGTAATGTCCGTCACAGAAAATCTGGAGAAAAAAAGGGAAAAGCTAGGGGAAAAATGATTGAAAGGGATTATCAGTACCTCAGTCATCTTGAACTTTTCATTTTCTTTAAGCCTTTTTAATTTAACGATTTGTGAACCTACAATGTTTCATTATGTTTACTTTAAACCTTTATTTTTCATTTAACAAAACTGTCATCTTACAACGTAAGGTCGTGTTAAGTACAGTAGAGAGAGTCTCAAGAAAGTGTAAAAAGCACTCTTCAAGCCTAAGGCTGAAGTTTGAAGAGGACTAAAGAAGTTCAAACAATAGACGAAATGAGCAGAAATAAGTGACTCACTTGGAGGTTTTGGTGTGCTGATACCTCCAACCAGAGGATGACACTGGAGTTCAGAGGGTTAAATAAATTGCTCGAGGTTGTACTTGTGACTATAAGGGCAGTAGAAGTGGAGTTTCGAACCCACGCCTTAGGGTCTGAACCTTAGTATAGTGAAAGACAATGAAGACAGTGAAAAGTGGTCCTGGGCAAAATGGATTAAAACAGCAGAAAATTTACACAGCTTCAAGAACCCACTTTCTGCTTCTGGAACTGTTGAGTTGCAACTAGTTCCAAGGAGCAAGGCTAGTATCCCCATCATTTGGAGCAGTGCCACCTGGGGCCACTCCTTGCTGAGTATCAGCGTCCTTCCCCTTCAGTAATGGTGAAAAGTGGGAGGGAGGCTACAGTAGGTAGTCCGGCATTGGACCTTGCTGCTCAAAAGTGCTGTCTGCAGTCCAGTACTTTCTGCATCACCTGGGAACTTGATGATAGAAATTCAGATACTTGGACCCCATCCTAGAACTTCTGAATCAAAATATGCATTTTCACTGAATCCCTGAGTCCTATGCACATTCAAGGTTGAGAAGTGCTACTGTAAGTTACCCTGCTTCCTTGGTGAAGCAGATGGGGTGGTAGAAAAGTGTGAAGGGTGATTGCAGAGTTGGATATTGAGAGGACAGGCAGAGAGCAAGGTTATTAAGGAGGATTAAAAAGAATCAAATGTCAGAACATAATCATAAGATACAAAAGAGGAAAACTAGGAAATAAGGATTTGAGAGTTTTGGGTTTTTTTGTTTTTTGTTTTTTTTTGAGACAGAGCCTCAGTAGAGTGCTGTGGCATTACAGCTCACAGCAACCTCCAACTCCTGGGCTCAAGCTAGTCTCCTGCCTCAGCCTCCCAAGTAGCTGGGACCACAGGCCCCCGTCACAACACCTGGCTATATATATATATTTTTGTTTGCAATCGTCATTGTTGTTTGGTGGGTCCGGGCTGGGTTGGAACCTGCTACCTTAGGTGTATGTGGCTGGCGCCTTAGCCACTTGAGCCACAGGCGCCGGAGCCTGAGAGATTTTTTAAAAGGAGAATTAGGTTGAGGGGATCCATCTTGGGAAAATACACAAATAAGAGACAAAAGGTCTGTTCCCTGTGGCTGACTTTTCTGTGTTGTCTGTGACTTATGTTTGTTAAAGTCCAGTTAATTCAAAGGGCTGGGGAAGGGCAACCCCTACTTATCCCCTTCAGCAGAGTTAAGTGGGGTTTTCCTGGGTTCTTCTAGTGGAGGGCATGTTCTAGGCTTTTACTGACATGGGAGAACTGGGGATAGGAATTGGCTTAGGTACTTACTCAGTAGCTGGGGGCTAAAGTATGGTATGTGCATGTGGGCTGAAGGGAAGGGCAGGGTATGAGCACCAGCCTCCCACAACAGCAGTCCTTGAAAGATGGGGTGAATATATATTATTGGGAATTGCTGGCCCCAGAAGACCACAGGGCTAATAACATCTGGTACCCTGAGAGAGTCAGACGGCAGGCTTGCAGACCTTCACTTAGGTGGGTGGTTCTTGGAGTTAGATTTTCTGGTGGTTACCAAGCGGCTTCTAAACATTAGCAAGCTGTTGAGATGACAGTAGCACTGGTAGGGGCAGGGACATAGTAGGTTAGAAACACCCACTGGGTGGAAGAGTATCAGGTTGTTCTCTTGATGGTCGTGATGTTAAGGTGCCAAGCCAGGTTTCCTAGAGGAAGGCAAGTTAGGAAGACATCCCTCTCAGACCCATCAATACACTCAGCCTGAGGATAATCATTCTATATGGTGGACAGGAGGCTGTGTGGACATGGAGAGTTCCCTCTAGTGCTTTCAGTTACTTTCTTGAGACTGGGGTTACCCCTTGAATCAGTGAGTGGAGTAGTTTTCCTTCAGTGGGGAAGCCATACTTTCAGGCATTCCAGGAGCTTGAAGTCCTACAAGCGCCTGCCACAACGCCCAGCTGTTTTTAGAGACAGGGTCTTGCTCTTTTTGAGGCTTGTCTCAAACCCATGAGCTCAGGCAATCCACCTGCCTTGGCCTCCCAGAGTGCTGGGAGTACAGGCATGAGACACTGCATCCGGCCAGAAAAATGATTGAGAATGTAAGTGAAAATGTCTGGCACTAGGCAGTACCTGTGGTTCAGTGGGTAGGGTGCGGGTCCCATATACCAAATGTCTTCATTCGTACTGAGAGCGAATGAAGCGCCAGAGAGAGAAAGAGTGGGTCACAGACCCTGATTTCAGGGGTCCCAAGGCCCAGCCACACCCAGCTCTAGCCCAGCATTAGTCCAGTTCTGTTTTAGTGTCCTTGAACCAGTCATAGACTCCTATTTTGCCCAAGCTGGTTAGCTGGTTTTCTGTCAATTGCAATTGAAAGAAAACTAAGAGCTTCCTTCATATGGATTTTTGTTTTTTTTGGCTTCCCAAGGACAATGAAGTATAAGAAATTTATATCAAAGTAACATTATAAAAACAAAGAGTACCCTGGCATCATAGCTCACAGCAACCTCCAACTCCTGGGCTTAGGCAGTCCTCTTGCTTCAGCCTCCAGAGTAGCTGGGGCTACAGGCGCCTGCCAGAAGGCTGGCGATTTTTTGTAAATGAAAGTGCCTGGCACTGGGCGGCACCTGTGGCTCAGTGGGTAGGGTGTGGGCCCCATATACCAAGGGGGCGGGTTCAAACCCGGTCCCGGCCAAATTGCAACAAAAAAATAGCTGGGCATTTTGGCAGGCATCTGTAGTCCCAGCTACTCAGGAGGCTGAGGCAAGAAAATTGCCTAAGCCCAGGAGTTGGAAGTTGCTGTGAGCAGTGTGACGATACAGCACTCTACTGAGGGCGATAAAGTGAGACTCTATCTCTACAAAAAAAAAAAAGAAAGTACCTGGGCACATAAAAGGCATATAGGAAATGTTCATTTCTTTCTTTCCTCCTTAAAGACAGGATTCCACTTCTGTGTCTTTCAGTATCTTCATTCCATCATCAAAGAACTCGGAACAATTGTATTTTACCAGCTGTTAAACGTTTTGGAGAGTAAAGAAGGAAATAAATATTAAACGAATATGTAATTACAAGCATTAGTTTGAAATGTCAATATTCCCTTGATACCTGATACCTGATCTCTTTGTCCTATTACACTATCAGTTAAATCTCCTCAAAAGTTTATAATTTTATAATTTAGGCCAACATGAGGAATTATTTGGAAAAATTAATGACACTCCGCTTTATTTGAGAACAGAATAAAGCCCTGGGCTAGAACTCTGCCTGGATAGTCCTTAACATTCTGCCCTAAGCAGGGTATAGTTAACTTTCCAACACTGTTGGTGTAAAGCTGAATGGTCCTAACTTCTTAGAGATTAGACAAAGTCTGAAACATTCTAAAGGTGAATCCTTAAGAAGGAAAATGAGCTTGTTTTCTTTTTGTTCCCTTCAAAAATACTGCCCAATGTATAATGAAGCCGGTACACAGCAGCACCAGAAAGGCCATTTACAAGAAGAGTTTTTCTTCAACAGAATCTACTTGAAAGTGTTGAGAAATTTTATCTTAGCTAAGAGAAGTTTACTAAGGAACAAGGGCAGATATCTAAGTGCCTAACTAGTATTTAAAGTTTTCAAGGGGTGGGGATGTGCAAATTCAGCAATAAAAAGATTTTCTTGTTTTGTTTCAGGGGAAAGTGATAGTGGTCAGAGGGGCCAGTTCCAAGGGCTGGTCCAGAGAAGGTTGCTGGTCGTGGTACTCTGCCACATGCCCGTTCCGGTGGTGACCATACTCAAACTTGATCCGCAACTCGCCAATCTTGGACTGGGGAAGGATATCTGGGATCCACTCAATGATGAAAGGTGTTGGCTCCTTTTGATCTGGGGAAGTGTTGCCTAAACAACAACAAAAAAAGGAACACTATTAGTACAATTCCACCTCAAATGGATATTCCTAATATCAAGAAGCTTGAATTGGATCAGAGACTACTCAGGTTTGCTATGAGCTAAGATGCCATGGCACTCTACTAACGGTGACAAAGTGACACTCTGTCTCAGAAAAAAAAAATTTGCTGAGTGTGGCCCAGCTACCAGAAGGCTGAGGCAAAAGGTTCACTTGAGCCTAGGAGTTGGAAGTTAAAGTGAACTATGATTATGCCATTGCACCCTAGCCTGGGTAACAGAGCAAAACTTTGTCTTTTTCTTTTTTTTTTGAGACAGAGTTTCACTCTTTACCCTGGATTTAGTGCCATGGCATTATAGTTTACAGCAACCTCAAACCCCCCAGCTCAAGCAAACACCTTGCCTTGGTGTGTGGAGTAGCTGTGACTACAGGTGCCTGCCATAATGCCTGGCTAGTTTTTCTATTTTTAGTGGAAACAGGGTCTTTCTTTTGCTCAGGCTGGTCTCAAACTCCTGAGCTCAGCTGATCCACTGGCCTTAGCTTCCCTGAGTGCTAGGATTACAGG